GGCAGAGGCACAGGCCGCTTCCTCACCGCCACTCACAAGGTCTGAACTCATTCTACCCTGTCCACGTACTACTGTTAAAATTTGCATATATGTACTGATATATGGACCCTTATTACTGTACTATTTGTAACAGGGAAAAAAAACAAAATGTTCCTCCAAGGGTTGGGATAGAGTGATCGTCTAGCATCTGTGAGGCCCAGGGTTCAATCTCTCACATTGCCAAAAAAAGAAAAAGAAAGAAAGAAATGCTCCTTAATAGCTGACATGGGGTGAACCCCAAGATATTCTCAGAAAAAAAAAAAAAAAAAAAAACAAATTTTAAGTATGAAATGTCTATCTGTATTTAAAAATGAAAAAATACACGCATATACACTTGTTCTAGAAAGTGTAGAAACGACAGAGAAGAAGTAACTCCTGATCCTACCCAACAGCAACCCCTGCGCTTCTGCCCAGGCTGCTGTTGGGTTGTGTGTGCATGCGTGTGTGTGTGTGTGTGCGCGCGCACGTGTGTGCACGCATGCATGTGTGTCTGTGAGTGTGTGCGCGCACACACATGCATGTGTTTTTTTTTTGGTTTTTTTTTGGTTTTTCTCCGGTACCGGGAACCGAACTCACGACCTTGCACTTGCCAGGCAGGCGCTTTTGCCGCTGAGCTAAATCCCCAGCCCCGCATGTGTTTTATATAGAAGTAATCATACTCGATACTCTGCGTTTTAAATTTAACTCCAGACCAGACGCTCTTTCCCAAGTTACAATAAGCATCCCTTGGCCGCCTACCTGACCCCACGAGAGGGTGGCCCTGGCCTCATTCTGTCACGCCCCCAGGGGAACCTGGGCCTCAACAGCGAGAGAACCTGACCTTTTGCACACACATCCCGAACAGGCCAGGGCGGTGGTTCTTGGAGGAGTGCCAGGGGCCATTCTGGCTAAACGCCCAGGTTACTGGGCCAACGCTAAACTAAACACACACACATTTGGCTTTGGTGAGTGCCAGACGGTGTGAGGTTTGGGAAAATAAGCTGCCGTCTCCCTCTGGAGTTCCCACTGGCAAAGGTAACCCAGCAGGTCCGTGGACAACAGAGAGCTCCGCGGCATCCAACACGGGCAAACATTCTACCAAATAACCCCCTAGGAACCGCAGGGCCCCCACACACGGCCCCTGGGCCCCGGGTGACACAGAGACACTGAGAAATACGCACAGATGCGGGCTGCGAGCCTGGAGGACGCAGAGAAGAGGGCCGGGAAGTCATCTGAAGGCGGAACGGGCCGGGCTGTAATTTTCACAGACCCAGACGGCCCTGAAAGTGGTTGCGGGCAGAGGGGTGAAGAGGGAGGCCCGCGCCCAGAGCTGAAGGGGTGCGGCGGGAGGACGGAGCCCAGGGGAAGCCCCAGGCCCAGCGCGCTTTTCAACCTGGTCCTGTGGGAGTGACAGGTTCCAGGCCAGGCGGTTTTTGGGGTCGGGGGATGGGATGTTACCTACTGATTTTGCTTTATTTTTCCTCTTTTAAAAACATTTTTTTCGCCTCACAATACATACATGCAGCTTTAAATTTTTAAGTGTTTACAAACACTACGCGGGAACCAAAGTCATTCTTAACGCTGCCGAATCACCATTAATGATAAGATGCAAATTTCTCCTTCAGACAATTTTTGCTATGCAGATACTAATATTTGTGTACATATACTTTAAAAGTGGGATGTTCTATTTCCACTTGCCTTTTTCCTTAACAGAATATTTTTAAAGAGAAGCTGCAGGGCGGGGGTGTAGCTCAGTGACAAGGGCAAATGCTTAGCATCCCCAGGTCTTGGATCAATCCCCAGCATGGATTAAAAAATAAAAATTTTAAAAAATAGCTAATATCTTTGGTCGTTATGGATCAGCACTGTGCCAAGGGATTGTCATGGATTTTCCCCCCCTCTCCCCTCCCTCTCCCCTCCCCCTTTCTCCTTCTCCCCCTCCCCCTTCCCCCCCCATTTAGTGACACTGGGGATAGAACACCAGGCCTCACATCTCACATTCCACCGCTCCGGAATATTTATGGGCGTTGTTTTTAAGTGCAAGCATACAGAAGTATGGTTGATCGCTGAAACAGGCCCCTCTTGAGGAACTTTTGAGCTACTTAAAAACCAGCTTCTCACACTGCCTCCTGGCGTGGGAGAGTCCCTCAACTGCCTCAGGATGGGAAACAGAGGTACCCTACAGCCGCCCCTTGGGGCCCTCACCCCAGAGGAGACCCCTGGGGCTGTTTCGACTTGGATAGAACTCGAGCCTTGAAAGGAAAAAAATGACCCAACTGACTCCAAGAACTAAAACTAAAAGCAGATTAATTCTAAAGTTACAGAAAATTTTTCTCATTTTAAATTTCAAAGTGGTAATAGGCATTCTGCTTAGAGTACTAACAGATACTTACTATTTGTAAAGATTAAATTAGATATGAATAACAGCATTGCATTTTTAAATTTTTCCCCTATCAGGAATTATAGGAAGCCTAATAATGTCCACTTTTCCCTCTTTTTTATACTGCTCTGCCATGATGTTAACATAAATTGGTAATAAGGGGCTGGAGATTTAGGTCAGCAGCACCAGTGCCTGCCTGGCAAGCACGAGGTCATGAGTTCGATTCCCAGTACAGGAAACAAACAAAAAAACAAAAACAAACAAACAAACAAAAGATAAATTGCTAATAAAACAAATATCTCCTTTCTCAGTCCAGAAAAATCCTGAGTAATGGCTTTTTCGACCAACATGAAGAATTACATTTTACATCCTGTCCTGTACTCACGTATAGAGGGGTGAAGTTAAAATATTGAACAAAACTGGACATATGTAGAAGATTCAAGCGGGAACCCCTCCAAAATGAGTTTTCCTCAGTAAACAAATTTGGAAGACGGTAATTAGTTTATGGAAAGGGTTTTCTACACGTGTGTGCATGTGGGAGGCAGGGATGGAAAGATTTTTCCACACGTGTGTGCATGGGGGGGCGGGGATGGAAAGGGTTTTCCACACGTGTGTGCATGTGGGGGGGGGCGGGGATGGAACACGGGGCCTGCTACACACTAGGCAGGTGCTCTGTCAATGAGCTGCATTCCCAGCTGGTGGGAAGCCCTTAAAAACCACTCATTTTTAAAATAAAAATAAAAATAAAAAAACATTAATTTTCACAGTCAATGATAAATTGTGCGGCCGTACTCTGGGATGTGGGGACAGAAAGGGAAATAACATTTACTAAGCACCTCCACTGTGGGACACATACGCGCTGACTCAAAAACAACCAGTAGCAAGAATCGAGTCTGCTCCCCAGCCCTGCCCAGGAGACAGCTGTAATATCAAATGAAACCATGTTTTCAGTGCTCCTAAAACATTTCGCTATCTGAGGAACTAAGTTTTTTTGTCTTTTGAGACAGGGTCTTGCTGTGTAGTTCAGCCTGGTCTTGTACCCACTATAGAACCCAGGCTGGCCTTGAACTCGCAGTGATTCTCCTGCCTCAGCCTCCCGAGTGCTGGGATTACAGGCGTGTGCCGCCACACTCAGCTTAAGTAACTAATACTTTATACTTTTTTCTCTGTCAGCGTCTGCTAGGTTAGTGGAAACTCAGACAACTGCTTGTCTCTCTGCACTCAACACACAGGCTGGTGACAGATACGTAATAGGCAATAAATAACGCATGTTGACTCACTGCTATAATTCAATACCTACCAAATTGCTTTCAATGAAAGCATGCGGCATAATAATTTTTTTTTAAAAAATTAAGCTGGGTGTGGTGGTGCGTGTTTGTAATCCCGGCACTCTGAGAGCCCGAGGCAGGAGGACCAAAAGTTCCAGCCCAGCCTGGGTGACTTAGCAAGACCCTGCCTCAAAACAAAACATTAAAAAAGAAGAGCTCGGGCTACAGCTCAGTGCAAAGGCCCTGGGCTTAATCCCCAGTACAGGGGGAAAAAAAAGGAGCCATGGGTACGTCGTCAAAGGCCAGCCCGGTACAGTCACTACGTCTGTGTGTGCCCGGGCACTCACAGCTGCCCCCTTACCAGCGGTCCCACCTTCTGCGGCTCTAGTTACTTTCAGCCAACCACGGACGCTAAGACACTTTCGGAAAGAGACACGGTTCACGTAATTCTGTTATACTCTATTGTTATAATTATTCTACCTTATCGTTTACTGTTGTCAGTCTCTCATTGTGGGTAATTTTTAAGTTAATCTTTATCATACGTATGGATACATAGGAAAATACAATATATACCGGATTAGGTACAATTTATACTTCCAAGCGTCCCCTGGGGATCCACAAATGTACCCCTGGACTACTGTGTGCACGTATCGAGAAACACGACCTTGACACTTTCTGTTCTATTCTGCTCTGCTTCATTTGCTGGCCATCAGCAGCCAGTACGTTCACCGCGTTTATGCACACGAATACATGTGTGCATACCCATGTGCAGGAAACAAGACCTGCAGGACGTGCAGCGCTCTCTGATGCGCTCTGCTGTGTTCTGCTTGCGTCCTTCTCCTTTGACTTTCTCCCTGTGGTAGTGGGGACCGGACTAGAGCCTTCGCACTGAGCCACAGCCCCAGCATTTTTAAAATAAATAAATTTACCCACTTACTTACTTATTTGTTTATAGACAGGGTCTGGCTAAGGCTCTGAGTTGCCCAGGCTGGGCCTGAACTTGTGACCCTCCTGTTTCAGCCTCCCCGAGTGTGGGGATTACAGGTGCATGCCACCACACTCATTTTCCTTCCATTTCTTAAAACAAGAAAGACACAACAAATTGGGCAAGATTCACTAAAACGTCTTTATAACTGTTTTTCAAACTCTGCTCTAAGGAATACAATGTATTTCAGCCAAGAGAATTCTCCTAGCTCACCGGGTCTATCCTCAGATCCTGAACGTGTCGTGCTGGCCAGGGTTTGGAGACAGGAAAGGCCTCACCAGGGATCTCAACTGCTGTGCTTTGGAGCAGGGAAGCCAGGGCAGGGAAGGTGCACAGGAGGTTCACTCACCTTGTAGTGGAAGGAGCTGCCGTACTGCTCACTTTTCGCCAGGTGGTTGTAGTAGTTATTGACCTTGGAATTGACATGCTGGTGGGACCCAGGGTCATCCGTGATGGGGCAGATAAAGTAGCCTTCATCATCATCGCTGTCAGTGTCAGAGTGGCCATCGTGGCCACCCCGGGAGGCCGGGCCGCCGTCCACGCCTTCCAGGCGGAAGATAAGGTCCTCGTCGGCCATGCTCTAGGGCTGCGCGCTTTTCCCCAGGGGTGCACGGTCCAGCCAGAGTTACAGGGCCAGTGCAGCAGCGAGGGTCCTGCAAGGGAAGCAAGAGCCGGGGGTGGGTGCTGGCGCCTGAGCCTGGCTGACAGCGGCAAGGGCCCGGAGTCTGCACCCCCACAGTAAAGCCCGGAGCTGTCTTTCAGGGAGGCAGCTGGCTGCACCCCAGAACATTTCAAAGTCCAAACTCACCAAACCAGTTATTCCACTTCTAGGAACTCCAGCACTTGGAAATGCCAGAACCAGAGATACCTCAGTGAGCTTTTTAGAACATAAATTAGATCAAGTCATTTGCTCATCGCCTTCCAGAAACTTTCCTTCCTATTTGTAATAAAATCCAGATGCCTTTTTAAGGCTACAGGGACTGAGCGATCTGGCCCCCTGCCCACCTCGCCTCCAGCCATGGCTGCCCTCCAGGCACAACGGTTCCTTCCTGTCCTGCAAACCTCGAACCTCGGCACAGTCCCACCACAGGGCCTTTGCGCTTGCTCCCCGGGCCTGGAACAACTTTCCCACAGCAGGTTCTTGTTCACCACCAGAATCCCAGCTCCAAAGTCACCTCTTCCGAGAAACCCTTCCCAAATCCTCGAAAGAACCAAGCCTTCAAGTGCATATCCGGTCACTCCCCTGGACGCTCTTTTATTTCCTTCACAATCATTTCTGCAAACTGAGATCATCCTGTGTACTTTTTATCGTCCCTCTATGCCCTCCTACTGCCTCACAGGTGCTCAGTACCCTTCCCTGGGAAGGATGAGCAGCCCAGGAGTGTCCTCTGTTCCACGATGCATAACAGCAGAAAGATACTGGACCAACGTCTGTCAGGGAAGCCCATTATATAAATTACAGAATTTCATTGTTCACCGTGAAGTACTTTGTGACCTTTCGGGAGAAAGGGGAAAGTTTGGATATCCACAGACATGCAGAGGTAATCAAGAGATTATCAAAAACAGCAAGACTGTAGGGTAAAACGCTCACATTCGTGGTCAACTGATCTTCAACAAAGGCGCTAAGGAAACCGGATGGGGCAAGAAGAATCTTCCACAAGCGGTGTCAGGGTGAGTGACTATCCTTACACCATCTGCTAAGGTTAACTCAAAACAGATCAAAGACCTAAAGATAAAAGCTAAAGCTCTATTACAGGGAAGTACAGGAGACCATCTTCTTGTTCCTGGGTATAACCCAGCACATACTCAACAGAAGTGAAAACGTGTGTCCACACAGAAACCTGAAGCAGGTGTTCACGGTGGCATCGTGCATAACGGTCAAAGGCGAAAAGACCCAAACATCCAGCAACTGACGAATGGATTTTAAAAAGTAGTATATTCACAGAATAGAATCTTATTTTTTTTTTTTTTGGTACCAGGAATCGAACTCAGGACCTTGTGCTTGCCAGGCAGGCACTTGTGCCACTGAGCTACATCCCCAGCCCATATTCACATAATAAACGTTACTTAGGAATACACATTTTCCCAAGGACTGATACAAGCTTCCACATTAATTAAACTTAAAACGAAAGAGACAGCCATCAGAAACTACTACTGCATGATCTGATTTATAGGCAATGTCTCGGGAAGGCAAATCCATCGAAGCAGGAGGCAGAGCAGTGAGCGCGAGGGCTGCAGCGGGGGCAGAAGCGCGGCAGGCAGAAACGGCCAGGCGTTTCTTCTGAGAGGTGAAAATGTCCTGAGACTGACCGTGGTGCCATGCCGGCTGCACAACTGAGGACAGAGCAAGAGTCGCTGAGACGCACATTCTTCAGTGGGTGGATTATAAGGTGTGTGAAATATATTTCCATAAAGTCAAAGTTTTTAAGAAGTCAAGAAAAAAACGTTACTCAGCAGCACAGCACCTGCCTGGCAAGCGCGAGGTCGTGAGTTCGATTCCCGGTACCGGGGGAAAAAAAAAAAAAAGAAAGAAAAAAATGTTAAATTTAAAAACCAAGTTACAGAAAATCACACCCATTGGGGTGTGAAAGGAGAAGAGAAAGACAGTTGCACACACATCAAAACTTTTCCAGGAGGACTTGGGCCTACCCTGGAATGGGGAAGGAATCTGGCAGCTGGAAGCTAGGAATCAAGGGAACTTTCTAAAAGCATATATACTTCTGCACTGTTCCGTTTACAAAGCTGGACTGCGTTCAACACAAGATATAAAGGTTAATCTGCTTTTTAAAAAATTGTTTAAGAGCCAAGTACAAGGGCATGCCTGTAGGCCCAGCTATTAGGGAGGCTGAGGCAGGAGGATCACTTGAGCCCAGGAGTTGGGATCAGCCTGGCATCAGAGAGACAGCTCATGTATTAGAAGAAAAAGAAATATTTTTTTAGATCAAGCCAACGGTTCTAATTATTCTTCACAAGCCTATCATACAGGCCTTGGCATTTTCTTGACAACTACTGAGGGAGGAAACACATTTATATTCCTAGCCACGCCTAAATGGCAATTAAAAAATCTCAGGAAACTCCTTTGTGCAATGTACCTTTGCCATTTTCTATTCTGCTTACGGCTTTTGGTTTTCTTTCTTTTTATTCTCCTTCTTTCATCCCCCACCCACACGTTGGTTTCTCCACCCGCAGCTCGCAAATCGATGTCAGCTTTGCTTCTTATCTTCTGGGCGAGGCAGTCACCAGCTGGGAGCTGACACCACAGCCACTGACTCTGCCCGTTGCTCAGCTCTGGCCTGGGCCCCGGGCCTGCTGCTTGCAGCCCTGGTGCCTCCCTCTGCCCTGGTCAGCGCCTGGCCGGATTCCCTGCTGACCGAGACCGGGCGGCGCTGAGCTGCCAGTGGGCCCAGCCAGCTCAGCGACCTCCGGGTGCCAAAATGGTGCCACGGGAGGGGCTGGGTCACAGCTTCGGCCTGCACACCCCAGGCAGTGCGGCTCAGCGGTGAGAGCTCAGATCAGGACTGGCTACCACGGGAAAGTACTGGCTCTGCTGCCGATGATCCCACCAAATTCACCCGTCTCACCAGCTCCATTTTTGCTGGCAGGAGCCAAGCGGGGAAGCGGCCTGACTGCGGTTCCACAGTTAGCTCAGGGGACCTAGGAACGGGACATTGTACTACGAACCTGATGTCCTCCTGCCCCTGGGAAAAAGAGCGGCTGTAGGAAAATGGCTGGAGCCCGGCCCGCACGGCACCAGGGACTGGAGAGGGATTCTAGACAGACTGCGCCTCATGTCTGGCGGCTTCTGAACCGACACAAGTCTGCTCCCAAGGCAGCTATGGCAGTGGCTGTTAAAACCGTTCAGTGCTTCTCCCTTATTAACAGAACCAGTGTTGGCGCAGGGCTAAGTACACGGCAACTGTTTTTGTCTTTTGGTACCGGGAATCAAACTCATGACCTCAGGTTTGCCAGGCAAGCGCTTATGCTGCTGAGCTACATCCCCGGCCCCCTACGCGGCAACTCTGAAAGGGCTGTGTTTCCCAGACTCCTTCACAGCTGCCTGTGGTCATGTGACCAAATCCCTGCCAATGGGATACGAGCAGAAATGCTGTGTGCAACCTCAGGAAAGTGTTCTTTTAGGCCCCTTTGCCCTTTCCCTTCCTTCTGGCTAGAACGCAGACTGCGGTGCTGGGGTCCCAGTAGCTACGCTGGCCCCAACACAGAACCCACTGCAGAGGGGCCAGGGAGCCTGGAGACAGCGCCTGGGTCTATTCCCTCACCGGGGGGCGTGGTGGGCCCAGACTCTATCCCCACGCCGGTACAACCCACTGTAATTTTCCAAGTCACGTTCCCGTGACAAGCTGATGCCTGGCAAGGCCAGCCTGGGAGAACTGTGGCCCGGGTCCAGCGTGCTAACTTGGCAGCTGCTCTCACACTTGGGCATAACAACAGGGCAGCTGGGGTGGGGGTGTCAGATTCCCCGCGACAGTCAATGAACCCCCTGCGCCCATAACTCAGGTCCACGGTACCCGTTCTCACACCAGCCTCCCGGCGACCTCCACCAGACTGGGACTTCCCTTGGCCCAAAGGAGGAGGCTGCTCCTGGGAGGGGCGCCTAAGACATGAGCAGGAGCCCAGCCCCCGGCCTCAGGATCCTCCAGATTTCCTCCGCCCTCATCAGCCATGACGCCCACCCCAACCCTTGACGAGCCCTGGGGAAATACTTTGGCACTGAGAGGCAGCTGAGTAAAGTTCTGAGCCTGAAAGCTGGCAAGCCCCAGCTCCGGCACTTCTGAGCTTCACCTCTCAATGGGGATGCCTAATCACACCCATCACGTTAGCTCCCCAGCACCCGGGGCTTGCACAAAGCAAGCCATGAGACAGAGGAACTATTATTATCTGCGTTTCCAGAAATAAAGAGGGTGAGCCCTGTGTCCCAGCCAGGCTGGTGACCTGGATATCTGGCTTGGAACAAAGCCAGGCTTCTTCAGGAGTCTTCAGGGAAGAGATTATTTTAAGCTCTCACCATGAGAATCACGGCTGCCCCTACCTCTTGCTGTTCAGGGCTCCTCTGGCAGCCAGGAAGCAGAAGCTACACTTGCAATGTCCTAGGTGAGTCCTGCAGGTCAGGGAGCGGCCTGCCTGTGCAGATGGGCTAGAATACCCCCACCTTGATCCCAAGAGCCAGCATCCCAGAGCCGCTATTGCAACGGCAAGCAGAAACACCAAAACAACAGCCAGGATGTGGAGGCAGATTATTTATATCAACAGGCACTGATCAGGAGCATTCTCAGAATATAGGCCCCAATCTCTGGTGGTCTAGGGCTTATACAGGATAAGCAAGCAGGAAGTACTGAGGCAGAATGGCTTGTCAACTGGCGAGTGGTTTATACAATGTGCATCGCAGTGATCAGTCATTTCTAAGAGACAGGGGCAACCGGAACTGGAGCAGGAACTGTTACCTGGGCAACTAAGAAACTGAAGTGTACTGGCTGGGGGCCATTTTCTACTATGCTACGGCCCGGCTGGAGCTAGCCAGTGTACACTCCGGGTATGCTCAGCAACCCCAGGGGACAGGCGGAGCTCCTGTGGCTGGGGTGGGGTGGATGTGTCACATGACCCAGGTCTATACAGCCCTGGGAACCTGCCACAGTAA